TGTTTAGTAAATAAGGATCCGTTTCACTCCGTACGGCTTGTCCGTTACAAACGTAAACACAACACATAACAAACACCAATACAGTCCTCCATTTATACTTTGTATCACTAAACTGACTGTGTCTCTTCTGTAAACCCATGTCTTTACAACATTCCATTATCAACTAACTCAACACAAAAATATTCATTTCACTTTTGCTAAGGCTCCTTGCGACAACACCTAGGGAAACACCAAATATGTACATCGACACGTACTTAACTTACACACCATTTTTATAAATAAAGGTGAAAATTTAATAAAATGATAATTTATTTGATACACACTATAAATAAAAACAATTTAACAAAGGTGGGGTGGGATAACAGAAAATAAGCGAAAAGGCGCGCTAAGGCGCGACCGTTGAACAAAGTCGTTTGGCCGGTTTTGTACGTTTACTTTGTAGTTTCCTCCTCCCTGCCCTCCCACCTGCTTCGGCTTCGCATTCGTGCGTTTCAAATCAAAAGCCTTCTCCCTCCTCCTCCTCACGAAATAAACGTCGTACATTCATCTTTCCGTTCCTTTCACTTTGTAACAAAGAATCTGTCATTCATTCATTCGTTCATTATATTTTACACAATCATTCCTTTTACAAATCGTATATACTAAATTATTTCAATATTTACGTAAAAGTAAACTTATCTTGTTGTATATGTTTTAAGTGCGTTATTCTAAAAATTAAGAAAGAAAAGCTTCGTAAAATTTTTAAAATGTAGCAACATTTACTAATGTTTTTCATCGTTCAATTCAGCTCATGTTAACCATGTTCCGCCTCTTATTCACTCACTCTTCAATTCGATCAATCCGTTTTTCGTTTTGTTTCATATTTTAATAAATAAATTCATATTTATTACATTATATTTATAAAAAATATAGTAGTATAGGATTCACTTTCAACGTAAGGATATTCATCTTCAATTGAATTCATGTAAGTTCATGTTTTCTTTGTTTGGGTTAGAGTGTGGTGTTGGCGTGGCACCGCCGCAATGTCGGCGACGGCGACATTTTGTTTGTTCAATATATTTATAATTTTAGGCACTCAAATTGTTGTTACAATTTTTAGATAAAAAAAAGTACGATGAGCTCGGGTGGAACACGTGTGTACGTTGGTGGACTTGTCGAGGGCATAAAGAAAGAGGATCTCGAAAGGGAGTTTGACAAATATGGCAAATTGAACTCCGTTTGGGTAGCACTCAATCCCCCCGGATTTGCATTCATAGAATTTGAAAACATGCAGGAGGCAGAAGATGCGTGTAGCGCGATGAATGGTTTTGAAATGTTAGGCGCGACATTGAAAGTAGAGTTATCGAGGAAACGTGACGGACCGCGTCGCGGCGGTGGTAACTTCAGAGGAGGGCGAGGTGGCAACTTCCGGGGCCGGTCGTTCGGGGGCCCTCCTAGTGGCAACAGATCTTTCAATAACTTCGGAGGCAATGGCGGTGGTGGTGGCGGCGGCAGGCCGTTCAACCGCAACGGAGGCCAGTCTTATAACAAGTATCCTTCTTCAGGAAGTAATATGAGGTCCAGGTCACCACTAGAGCGTCTTTAATTTAATCTTAGCTTTTAATTAGGTTTAGTGTTAACATTATCTGAAGCCTTCCAAGTGTTAAAATTCAATGTCTGTTCTTACGGGAGGGTTTAAATGCTGGGAAGAGTTCTATCAACAACAACAATGACCTGAGGAATTAGAGGTAATGTATGATTTTGAGTTTAATATACAAATATGTTATGTTTTTAATAATGTGAATTATACAGTATGAACAGATATATATGACGGAAGCATGTACTGAAAGTTGTTTATATTGTTTGAGCTTATATTGTATGTATAAATAAATTGTATTAATCACTGTAATTTATGTGACATTTTGAGATCACAATACTCTCTTATTAACATGTTATGACCTGGTACTTATCATGAATCTATTTTTATACTATCACATTAGTATTGACTATACAATATAGTTGTTCCTTGTAGTTATATAAAGTTGACAATGTCCTCTAAATAAAATGTTACCTTATGTAATACATTGATGTATTTTTTATTCAAATAAAAGCCTAAATGTTCTAAATATCGGATAGCAAATTTTAACTAAATCACATACAACATCGAGATAGTAACTATCTATTACTGTGGTGGTGGAACCAACTTGTTTTACTTTTGATATTGCTAAATTTGCTTATTGTTTATATTTCTAGTATTTCATTGTTTTTGATTATAAAGATGAAAAAGCCAAGGCATTCTGACACTGCTTGAGCTGAGCTCTTCGAAGCCTAGTGCTCAAAGTACAGTAATTTTTGTCCGACAGTGTTCAATGTATATATTTAAATATACACCAATTTTAAAAATGCATGTTTAAAACATTAATCCTTACGTAGCTTCTTTAATGTGAACCACAATTTGTGCTCATATGTCTCAAGAAAAGGTTCCATTAATTTATTTTCCCATACTAATATAAATTTACACAAACCACAGATTATCACTGTTTTGGTATAGTCTCATATTTTTTTTATCTTTATCAATTAATTCATACTTTAGTATATGAAACTAGTTTTTTATGTTTCTCTTTGAGGTTAAAATTGATTTGGACATGTACCATTTTCCTTAATCCCATATTAATTTGATAAGTAAATGAAAACTATGGTAATTCAAAACTAGTTTTTTTTTTATGTTTTTGAATTTAAAATTGATCTGAACATGTTCCGTTTTCCTTAATAGTATGTTCATTTTATGAGTAAACAAAAATGATTTTAATTCTGTAATTTAAAAACATTGATTGGCTTAAATTCTATCATTGTAGTTATTGGTGTGAAATATAGCTTTACACATGAGTAAATCATCTCTGAAACAGTTCAAAAATTCAACTCTCCTAGATTCAATCAGATGAGCTGTGGCTCAATTAAATAGGCAATTCAGTGGTAGAAATTATGTCATCCCATAAATTGTAAAGCTACCTACAGTTCATAAAAAAATCATAACTCTATGCAAGTACAAATTGAGCGAAATTGCGAGCCAGTTTACTGCTGCAGTTTTCTGCTTCACACATGTAAATTAAGCTGATTTATGGATTATTTAGGTGACTTAACCATGACTACATAGCTCAGTAGTTATCTGGACTAGATATGGCCTTTGAATATTCTGTTTGCTACATCATGGTTAATGACATTTTATTATTATTTTCAGTTCCTTGGATTTTGGTCTCGAGTCAACCTGACATGAGAATAATTAAGCAAGAACAATCATCAATAAATAATAAAATACAATTTACCTAAGCACTTATGCATTAAGACTTTTACATGTAATAAATGAAACATATGATATGCTTGAAATGGTTTTATTCTTAAAATTATGAAGGACTGCTAAGGCAGGCCATTAATAGTTCCATTTTGTTGAGAAAGTTTTTACCCTCCATTTTTTCTAGTTTGATCTCTTTGAATGCACCTCCGAGGTTCTCCCATTTCTTATCTTTTACCAATTCACTTGCAAAGAAATCTTTTCTGGGCGATTGTGCTATGAACGCTTGGATCCCAACTGAAGGCTCACATCTTATCGCAATCATCCTATCTCCTGAAACAATATTTTATAAGTTAAAATAAGAGAGTTTTTAGGGCATTGTAAACTGGTGACAGTTTTTAGTTAAGTAGATTATACAGGGGGACCTTTTTTCTGATATCGGTATAAGTTGGAAAATAAGTGCCAAATAAAATTGGAAAGTGGAGTTCTTGACAGTTTTTTCAATAAAAAGCAATTGTTGAATTTTAAGTTGATGACTGGCATAATGTGGACACTATGAGCAAAAGTGTCAGTTATCATCATTATCTTCCTCCTTATCCTACTCTCGTAGGGTCGGCGCAACAGGTTTTTGTCCTCCACATAACTCTATCATACGTCATCTCAGTCATCACTCCCTTTTTGATCATGTCATCTTGCACGCAATCCATCCATCTCTTTCTACGTCTTCCTCCACCGATGTACCTTTCCACACTCATAACTGACGTTCTCCTTGTAACATGCGATTCATCCCTCCTCATAACATGCTAACCTTTTGCTCCTTACCTTCTCTACCACTGGGGCTACTCTCAAACTTCCTCTAATATACTAATTTCGTATCTTATCCATTTCTTACCCCACACATCCATCTTAACATTTGCATTTCTGTCATATTTAGTCTTTTCATTCGTCCCTTTTTCTGCCTAACATTCAGATCCATACATTATGACAGGTCTTACGACGGTCTTGTAAAAGGGCCAGTGACTGCGCAATTAATTTTAAAATTGCAAATATTGTAAATAAGTGTACCATTAGGCGATGCGAGGAGACAGGAGGAGGCGTTGCCGAGCGGCTCCACGGGCCCGGAGCCGAGGTGTGCGCTGGAGGCCAGCAGCTGCCAGCCCATGCAGCGCCCCACCGCCTGCACCGCCATCATCTGGTGCTGGTAGATCTGCAATAAACACCCTCACACATAGTTTATACAACAAAAACAATTTTCAAGCCAACAAATCCCCGGGTGCAACTGCAAGTGTAATCAATACTTTAACTAAATTCTGTTAAGAATATTGCTATATATGCACAGTTTGGATATAATGTGATGTATTATATCCAAAATGTGGGCTTGAAGATTCAAAATCCTAAGTATTCTACAAACCCTAGGGTTTGTGCTAGATTAGCAATTCTGGATTAGACTGTAATCTAGCACAGCATACAGCATACCTAATATCTTAGAATACTAGTGAGTAGAGCATGTATACCTGGCAGTAGATGAGGTCTCTAAGCTCCTGCAGCTCGTAGGAGAGATGTCTGACGCGGCCATCGCGGCAGATGCACTTCAGCGTCTTC